TTCCTTGTCACGAGGCAGGCATCTGACTTTCTAGTGTCTAGGACAAGGTCATAGAAGCATGTGTTCGGCCGTTATGGCTGCCAAAAGGGAAGCTGGTCCCTTCACAGGTACTGGCAACAACCCATTTCCCTCCCTTATAGGTCACACTGTAACTCCTCTGACTAGCTTAGTAAAGAGTATAGCATCATGTTAGGAGCCTATGCAAAAAGAAATATCACATGGTGATGCAGGAAGCTCAATAGCAGGGAGGGGACAACCTTGCTCTTTTATAATAACCTACTCTTGGAGGAACAAAAAGGCATCCCATGAGATCTACATGAATCCCTTCTGAAAGCATTTCCCCATCACCAGGCCCTGCTCCTTAAAGGTGCCACCATCTGTTGACAATCACCACCCTGGGCCTCAAGCTTCTAACAAGGAATCCTGAGAGGAAAAAAACCCTCATATCATAAACAAACCATGGCAGAAGATAACGTGAACTAAATGGCTAGAAGAAAAAGAGATAATTGATATGAAGAAATAGTGCAGCTACCAATGGTCAAATTAGGGTTGGAAATTAGAAGTAAAATAGAGGGGAAATTGTGGGGGCTAAAGAAATCAAAAGTTGAATGTTGGGGAGGTCTGAAGGGGTCTGAGGAGAGGAAGGAGAAAAATCAGCCATAGGACCTAGAAGAATAAGACAGAAAAACTGAGGAACTGATGAGAGTATGGCTTGAGCATTGATGTAGAAAAGGCACTGATGGAGGGAGCAGAAGAGAGCAGGAAGCAGCATGGAGAGCAAGGACTTCAAGGCCACCTCCTGGCATGCAGACTCACAGGGACAAACACAATGCCTTCAGTGAGAGGACAGGAGAGCTCACCTCCCATGAAGTCAATAGGAAACAGAGAAGGACCAATCAGGAGGTACTTTTCCTTGTGGGTTAATCAGGTACCTTGTCGGGGGCCCAATTATTTAATATATTTTGGATGCAGGCCTCAGCTCAATTCCAGGAGCTCAAATCTCCCATTGTCTTTTAGATATCAGTTGGTTACCACCAGATGGCTTGGCCACAGTGGAGAATGACTTCTAGTTTGTGTAACAATAGACCTAGGTCCCTGGGTGGACCCACACCCATCATGGGGGATGGTGGGACACATGCCTAGGGACTGGTGAGGGAATAACGAGACATGCTGTTATGGAATGTCTGAGGGCTTGTGTACCTGCCTTCTGGGACTCTCTCTAGGATTAAAGGAAATATTTCATATCAGCTCCATACATGATAATAGATGTCTTCTACCAGTACCCCCACTTTTGGGAAAGCTACTTAAGAGGATGCTTGAATAAACCATGGTCTCCAGTATGGATTGAGAGCCCTCTTGAGATGACAAGATGTCTCTGTCTTGTCCTTAACGCCGTTGGGTAGGTAGCTAGACTTTCCCTCATCCACACTCCCCGACTCAGGGTCGGACCCAGGGCTGTTCAGCTAGTTCTGATCGCAGCCCCAAAGACATCAGTCTGGAATAGATGGCCTCTGTAGTGTAGGACTGATACAGGCCAGACCACGGCAGTACCTGAGATCAGGTGTAAACAGGCAGACATATGGAATGTTGAGACCAGATTTTAAAATAAAAATGTGCTACATGCTCCCTACCACTGCTTCTAAGACATTCAAAGATAATTCATGACTCCAGAGGAACCATGTGCACAAAGGAGCGATATGCCCACAAGCAGTGGCAGTACTTCAGGCAAGAGGGAGGTTGCCACTTCATTAATATATGCTCTAATTTCTAGGAAAGCCTCATCTACCCTGAGAGTGTCAGCAACAGAAAATAGAACTAGAAAGGTCTCCTACATTGCATTTCTTAGCTCTCTAAGCTTGTTAATCCTTTTTAAATTAGATGTTGTTCTGTGTAGAGTCCTTGGTGGACACCTTCATGTCTTGTGGTTAGACACAGATAGCTGAGAACCGAGGTTGTATCTCCGGGGCACAACTAGGGCACTCAAAAACAAAGCTGGCAGACATCAGCTGAGGCACAGGCTCCCTCGGGCTTCTTTCTATCATTATTTGTCTGATGTGGGATGGTGCACAAAAGAACCACACCTTAAAATGTTGCTGAATAGCTGGAGCCTCACAGGGAGAACAGGGAGATCAAGCTTCCATGTAACTGACAGAAATAGCATGTGTCATTTTCAAAATGAAAACTGTTCTAGGCTGTTAATACAAAAATGCTCTTTAAAAGACACTTCTAGTCTTCTGCAAATCAAATCTCTAGACTTTTAAATATTAATTTTAAAACTCACAGAGGAAAAAAACAAAAATGGATAAAATGCAGTTTGATGTCATCTAAACTACTATGGCAGATAAATCACAAAAGATTCTGTCAAGGAATTCTTTATTTTTAAACACACAAAATGTTTTCTTAACAGTGATGTGTCTTTCCCTAAAAAGAGTCATATTCAAGGAGTATACAAAGTGAACGGTGACTATTTTTAAATGGGGGATTATATTTTCTTTTAAAAAAACTGCATTAATTCTTGAGAGAACTAACAATTAAGAGGCACAGCTATTTGGAGGAATTTGTGCCATCTCTTGTATAGAACTGCAAGAAATGTTTTTGAAATACATTTATTTTCTGTAGGGAATCTTGGTAAGTTAACTTGCATTCCTCATGTTTGATCTGCAGGAAGAAAACAGTGCAATTTCCCTTCATCCACCTGATCAATACCGTTATTGAAGAAACTCTGTTCCCGTGTGTGGCATGGTGAGCTCATTTTATTCTGCAGAGGTGTTGTGGGGAAGTCTCTGGCTGACATTGGTGATGCTCAGGTTTTCCTTGATCTTCAAATGATGGCTAGCTGTTAATTCCACCCCACCACAACATGCGCAATCAGAAGATAGCACATTCCTATGGTGCAGGACACGAGCATCATTGGGAAGCCCAACCTGGAAAACAGAGAGACAGTTATGGCCTCTGGTGTCTGGAAAGAACTAAAAGATATAGACTCTTTATATGTTATGTTATTGCAAAAGAATATGGCTCCAAAACCTTTGTGTAAGGAAAAATTGATATTTCATTCAAGTTGCAAATATTTTTGCCATAACTCATGTGGCTACTTCCTAGAAATCCAACTTGGGTAGTAAGGGAATGAACAAGGGACAGACACACAGACACACATAATAAAAGCTGTGATTTATCAGCCACTGACTCTGGTCCACGAGCAGTGACCTAGAAACTCAGGGTGTTTGTTGATTTTATACATATTAATATAGGAAGCAGGTTTATTGTATGCTGCTGGTCATGGATACAGGTTTATTACATACAGGTTTATATAACAAGGAGGTGGGTTCAGCTCATCTTGGTAAAAATTCCTGAATGCAGTCTAAAAACTGATGGAGTTGTGAAATCTTTACCCTATCTCTCCAGTTCCTTAAAATCTTCAAAGTTTTAATGTACACTGAGTATCTCTAGATTCTGTGTCCCATGCTTTACACCCATTGCATAGAGTTGCAATTGCCCTCCTCTCTTTACCTTTATTTTTGTGCTTTTCATGGGAGCGTCCTGTCATCTGACTAATGTGAGTTCTCTGAAGTCAAGTGACACTGCCTGGATGCCACTTGCTGTGATTGACACAGTTGGTATTGGCCCAACTGGAGCAATTGGGATCGAAGAAAGGATTGGCCCAGAGACACGTGCTGATCAGGTGGGCCATGTGCTCTGATGAAGACACACCAGCAGTTCTCTGGAAACTGTGCGTTTACCTTATGCATCTAAATCAGTTTTGTATAGAGTTGAGTCTCTCTAGGGGAGCACTCTCAGGCTGTAAACATTCCAGGGGAGGGAGCCATGATCTATATTTTCTACACATAGTATCAACACCCACACATGACTAGGAGAAGGTGTTGCCATTTCTCCGGGCCATATCCAGAGAAGGCTTTGTCATGTCCATGAGTCTGGGGCACTGGGCTGAGTTCACTTCAATAACCCACATTCACTCAAGACTTCTACTCCCCACATATTTTACACAGTACACTATCTGACTCTTTGGTACAGCACTTGTCTAACAAGTGTGAAGATCTGGGTTTGATTCTCGTCATCCTTTTCTCTCCAAAAAATGATCTCTGGATGTTTCCTTCAGCTGTGTCAAGTTGCAATTATGACTCTATAGACTTCCAAAGGAAGTCATATTTCTATCAATTCATAAAGTCCCTCTCATTTAAAGCAAAGGGAGGTTAAAAGGTTGGATTGAGAGATAAGGCCATCTCTTGTCTAAAGAAGGTAACAGACAACATGGCTTTCATCTGCCTTCCATGAGGGATGTGTGGGTAGGTATGCTAATTAAGAAGGTTATTATGAGGAATTCATGAGTTCACATCTATAAGTCCTTTAGAGAAAGGTGTTATTGCACACTGATCCCTCAACTAATGCCAGCCACTACTCATGATGCTCCATGCAGACATCTGCCCACATCCGTGTGACAGGGTTAGAGTGTGTGTAAGCCAGAGAAAGCCTGCATGGTGTTTTAATATTATTGTTGCTGTGATAAACACCATGATCAAAGACAACTTGGAGAGAAAAGAAATGATTTCATCTTGCAGATTATGATTCATCATCCAAGGAAGCCAAAGCAGGAATTCAAGTCAGGATTGTTAAACAGAAACCAAAATGGAGGAACACTCTTTACTTGTTTGCTCCCAGTAACTTTCTCAGCTACCTTTTTATACACCCATGCCTACTTGCCCAAAGATTTCCTGCTACAGAGGTCTCAGTCCTCCTACATCAATTAGGAATCAAGAAAATGCCCAATGGACATGTTCATGGTAAAGAAAGGTAATTCTTTAATTGAGGTTTCTTTTCCCAGGTGTTTCTAGTCTGTGTCAAACTGACTAGTAAAACCCACATCTTGTCAACATACACATCAGGTTAAATCTGCATCTCATCCACTTGACATATCACTGTTAAACCATAACCTTTCCTTTCTTGTTTGTCTCTAAGATCTCAGGCTAACATTAATAGCACAATATAAAACACGGTCCAGCTTTTTAAAGTCCCCAGAACCTATAAAACTGTCAACACTTGAAAAGGTTAAGATCTCTTTAAAATTCCAAGTGCCTTACCTGTGAATTCCTGTAAAACTGAAAAGTATGTCACATGTATTTCTTCTACTCCAAAAGGGAAGAACCCAGATATAAAAATAACTACGTTTAAATGAAACACAAACTCGGCAGTGGGATTCCAAACTCTGCAGCTCAGTGTCTGATACGTGAAACCTACTCATGGTCTTCAGGGCTCCACAGGACTTGAGCAGTCCTTTTCCAGCTCTGCCATTTGTAGCCACACACAACTGGCCTCATAGATGCAAGTGCCAGACTGCACTCCACATCAGCCACTGTCCTTGGTAGTTGCTCCGTGTCCTGGAATCTGCAATATCCCACGGACTCCACTGAAACTGAGCTGGACCTTCACTAATGACTTGCCCTAGCCTCACTTTAGGGATTTCAGCCATGCCACATGGTACCAAGCCTCAGCTGCCCTCCATAACCCCTTTGTGGCTTCAAAACCAGTACAGTTTCAGTGGAGTCCTTATACATTATTTGCCAAGCTCTGCTCCCAGCTTGATCGGCTGCCTAGGTCCCTTTGAACCACAGTTGACCCTGAGGTAATACTTCCTAGAAGATTTCACCTCAGTGATGCCAATCTCTTGCGAAGCACAGCTGATTTCTCAGGCCCAGATGACTTCATCCTTTGTCCCAGTAAAGTAGAACATCTCACTTCCAAATTCATTTTTTTAATATGTATTTACTTTGATCTTTTTATGTGTATGGGTGTTTTGCCTGCATATGTCTATGTAGCACATGCATGTGGTGCCCATGGAGGCCAGGCGAGTACATAGGAGCTTCTGGAATTAAGAGTTACAGAGATGGTTGTTAGCTGTTGTGTGGGTCCTGTGAACCATTAAGCAACAAGAGCTCCTAACCACTGAGCCGTCTCTTCTGCTCCTTCCACAGTTTGCCACACATACACAGCCCTGACAGAGTCTGCTTCCCTGTAAAACTACACCAACCAGGCCTCTATTGTCTGCACCACTCTCCACATTCTTGTGTCTAAGCTCCCACAGAACAGCCCACTGAGCTCTGAGTGTTTAGTGAGTTTTCCAGCCCAGTGTTCCAGTTTTTTCATCATCTTCCCCAAACAGTAGCACAATGCTGCACTCAGTTTCTGTTCCTGTTCTTCCTGTGTTTCTCTGCTCTATGCTGTGATAATTGCCATGTCCTATATAACTAGAGGAGGACAGTGCTGGTTTTATCTCACAGGTTATAACCCATCATGGAGAGATGCATCAGGAACTCAAGGCAGGTGACTGAAGCAGAAACCACAGAGGAAAAGTTGTTTGCTGGTTTGTTTGCCCATGGCTTGCTCAGCTGTCTTTTAAAATACCACTTAGGACTTGGCTTAGGAAAGGTACACCCACATTGAGCCAGGTCCTCTTACATCAATTATCAATTAAGAAAATGCCAAAAATATGCCTCCCTAGATATGACTACAGGCCAATCCAATGGAGACAATTCTTCAACTAAAGTTCTCCGTTCCCAGGTATCTCTAGCTCATGTCAAGTTGATAATAAAACCTAACCAGTGTAGACAGAAACATGAAATGCTTTTGACAAGAGAAAACTTAACTTCACAATACACAGTGGTCTGTTGGAAAATAGAATGTAATGACATTATTCTCAAAAACTATAGAACACATTTCTGGTGCTGAAGCAAGATGAAGAAGATATGTTTCTTCCTATTCCCCCTCCATTCCAAGCACATCCAAGACTCTTGAGCAGTATATAAAGCAAAGAAGGTGAAAAGAAGCAGAATGTCAGGGCAGCTGAGAATCCAGAAAAAATAAAAAACATGGCATGAATAGCCAGAAGCTGGAAGCAACCTAGATGCCACTCAACCAAAGAATGAATGGAGAAAATGTGGCACATTTACATAATATAGTATTACTCATTGGGGGGAGAATTCACAGGCAAATGGATGAAACTGGAAGAAAAGCATCCTGAATGAAGTAACACAGTTTCAGAAAGACAAGCATAGTGTGTATTCACTCATATATGGATATTAGACATAGAACAAAAGATTACCAGCTTACAATCCACACCTCCAGAGAAGCTAGGAAACAAGGAGGACCCTAAGAGAGACATACATGATCCTCCAGAGAAGGGGAAAGGGACAAGAGTTCCTGAGCAAATTAGGAGTACTGTCATGGGGGAGGGAGGGAGGAAAAAGAGAAGGGGAAAAGAGGAGGAGTGGAGGAGAACATGAGGGATCAGGAAGACTGAGTTGGGGGAAGAATAGAGGAGAGCAAGAAAAGAGATAGCTTAATACAGGGAGACAGTATAGGATTAAAGAGAAATCTGGCACTAGGGAAATGTCCATAGATCTACAAGGATGACCCCAACTAAGAATATAAGCAATAGTGGAGAGGCTACCTTAAATGCCCTTTTCCTATAATTAGATTGATGACTACTTTATATGTCATCCTAGAGCCTTCATCCACTAGTTGATGGAAGAAGCAGCAGAAACCTACGGCTAAACACTGAGCCAAACTCCTGGAATTCAGTTGTAGAGAAGGAGGAGTGATGAACAATGGTGGTCAAGACCAGGCTGAAGAAACACACAGAAACAGCTGATCTGACCAAGTGAGCGCACACAGACCCCAGTCTGACATCTGGGGAACCATATTGAACAGAACCAAGCCCTCTGAATGTT